GACCCAGGGTCGCCGAGAATATCGCGCAATTCGCGTACGAAGGACTGAGGGTCCTTAGGGATCTTCGGGTACTTCCGGGGAAAAGGCTAGGGAGGGGGGCGGAAGCCTTTTATGATGGGGTGGCCATCGACCGGCTCGGCTAGGCTGGACGAGGCCTCGATGACATCGAGGAAAGCATCGAGGGGCTGGTCGATATGGCTTCGGAGGGAGGAGCCGATGCCCGTCTTGCGGCCGTGGAGATACAAATCCGCGGCCTCAAGTCGGAAATCGCCCGCCTTGGGCGAATACTGGAGGGACGAGTCCCCCCAGTATTCGCAGCGGCGGCGAGGCTCGGCCCTCCGAGGCCACAGCAGGGTCAACCTGCGAGAGGGGACGACGGCTGGACAACAGTGTCCAGCCGTAAGGGGAGAAAAGGTAGGGGGAAGGGGGGAAAGCCTGGAGCAGGACAGCCGCCACCGAAACCGAGGGGAGGGATTAGGTTCGCGAACGCGAAACCCGCCAAGACGGGGCCCGTGCGTACACCCGCGATCGCGAACAAGCCCGCAAACGCACCAACGTATGCGGGCGCTACAAAAGCGGCAGAAGGGGCCACGCTCTGCGGGGCCCCCGAGCGCCCAAAAGGCGAAGCTGAGGCCTCTCCCGCGCAACCCGGTGGTAACAATCACCCCGTTGCCGGGAAAGACCTCAGCTCAGGTCTTGACAAAAGCCAAGGCCAGAGTAGACCTCGGGGAGCACGGCCTAGCCCCTGGGGCAGGATTAAAATATAAAAGAGCCCGCAATGGCGGAATTTTATTCGAGATCACGGGCAATGGCGCTAGGGCGAAAGCCGAGCGCTTTGCCCGTGATCTCGAAGACGCCCTATCTGGGGACGCTGTCGTTGCTAGGCCGACGAAGAGGGCCGAGGTCCGAATCGTCGGTCTGGACGACAGCGTAACCAAGGGGGCGGTAAGACAAGTAGTGAGCTCCATAACCAAGTGTCCTCCGGAGGACATCCAGACCGGTGAGGTCAGGCAGTCCTCCAGAGGACTCGGCGCGATTTGGTTGCGCTGCCCACTAGAGGCAGCGCATAAGTTGCAAGAAGCCGGCGGGCTTCAAATCGGGTGGACGAGGGCCGCTGTCCGCGTGTTAGGAGAACGCCCTACCCAGTGCTATAGATGCCTGGACTTTGGCCACATGGCAGTGGACTGCCGGGCAGAACACTCCAGGGGTGGCCGGTGTTTCAGGTGTGGGGAGGTTGGGCACGTCGCACGGGGCTGCACTGCAGAACCGCGGTGCACCCTGTGCGACGCGCTAGGACGAAACCCTGCCCACCGTATGGGAGGCAGGGCCTGCACGGCGGTCCCTAGGGCCGCCGTGGGCAGGAAACCGCGGCGACATCGGCGGCAACGCCGAAAGCCGGGCTCTCGCGCTTCTCGTAGGGGGGAGGAGGCTTCTCACGCGCAAAGTGAGGGGCCTCCCCCTCCCGGCGAGAGGCCCGGAAAAGGAAATACAAAGGAAGTAGGAGGAGGAGGAGGGGAAATGCCCCCTCCTCCACCACCTCCTCCCTGCCCAGAAGCCCGTCCCAAGGGATGGAGACACAAGAGGACGGATCGGAGGAAGTAGTAGCAACATGCTCCTTCATTCAGGAGTTGAGGTGGGACGATTGGGCGGATGAGCAGTAATCTGTCATTCGCCCGATCGGAACACCCCGAGCCCGGGGACGTGCACGGCAGACAGAGCCAAGCAGGCTCTCTTCCGTGACGCCCCGGGCATCGGACTAGAGTGGCCTGTCGCGGTGGGATGTGCCCGGCAGTCGAGGCGAGAGTAGCCACCTGCCGGGACACTCACCGCGGTGAAAGGCCACAGTCCTAAACGGCAGCGGTGGGAGGAGGGCCGACCCCTTACAGGGGAAATCCTCCCACCGCAACCAAGTCAGGGATAGCCCCAAACCGGGAGGGGGTCCATGGTGAATTGAGGGATGTCATCATTGGAGCACCTCCCGGGGAGGGAAGGCCGACCCCCTTCAGGGGTCGGCTAGGTAGGTACCCCCATCGGTTCCTCAGCGGCGGGGGGGTATTGGGGGACCTTCGGGTCCCCACCATACCTTACGCTGCTGACAATAATAGGGAAAGTTGTCGGCAGCGAGGAGAAGTGGCAGGCCCTCTCCGAATTCTGCGAGGAGGTAATCTCGCGGAAGGAGGAGGCGGAACGCCAAAAAGAATGGGATGGTGATCCCACCCATGGGCCGAGGCGGCCCGGAAGAAAAGGCCGGAGAGAGCCGGCTCCCCTGTCTGCGTCGTCGTCATCGTCGTCCTCAGAGGAGGGGGATGGCGGCGGGGATGCGGGTGGGGATACCCCCCAAGAAGAGGTCCGCTGCCACTGCGCGCATGTCGGGGGCGAAGAGCCCCCGACAGATGACAATGCGGGGGGGAGGGGGAGGATAGTGACTGAGCTATCCATCCCCGATCTCCCCCCCAAGGTCTGGAAGGGAGGTAGAGGTGGGGGGCAATATATGCTCCCCCATAGGACAGGGTTAGGAGGGAGGGGGGTGTCCCCCCCTCCCTCACACGAAGGGGGCTAAGCCCCCCTTTCACGGAGGAGAGAGCGGGTCCCCACCCAACGTCATGTGTATATGCGGGGGGAGGGAATTTGTATTCCCTCCCCTGCACTGTTAAATACATATGGGGGACCTGCTCTCACGAAAGAGTAGTGGGAAGGGGAAGTACCGGAGGGATCTCCCATTTCAAGGCGATGCAGGGCGGGATGGGGGGGATCCAACACCCCCCCTCTACCCAAGAGAAGGAGTTCCCGAGGGAGGGAGACGGGCCTACATCAAGGACCGTCTCCATAAATTCCTCGGGGAGGGGGGTGAGGTGTCCGGGCGGGGGCCCGGCCCTCATTTCGACCCCTTTGGGTGGGAGGTGGCGTGCCGGTGGGGTGGTTCCCCAACGTGCCACAGTTAATTAGATGAAAGAGCACCACGTAAGGTGGGGCACCGAGGCCGAGTGCGTTCCCCCCACATGCCCACGCAGACGGGGGGGGGGGCGCGCTCTTAAAGGTCAGGGTTAGGTAACCAGTAGAGGTTTAGTGGGTAAACCCCCCGGACGAAAGTACCGGGGGGGAGTCCCACATAACCCGTCACTCCCCCCGGGGTGGCGGGTATGCATAATGCATTACTCCACTTAAAAAAAAAAAGTCGATTGGTCAAATAGTTATTGAGATATCGTGCGCACCGTGGAACCTCCTTACTTTCACTGCAATATTTTTCATATTTTTAATCTTATATGTAGAAATTTATATACATTCTTTACAAACATCACATTAAACAAACCCTCGAAACAAAAATCCTGTAATCTTAAAGAAACAGGATATTAATCTAAAAAATAGAAACGATCAGAAATAACCGCTCTGTACTTCTAATATTAACGAATTATATTCCGGTTAAAATAATATAAATCGTATAATATATTCCGGTTAATATAATATAAGTCGTATAATATATTCCGGTTAATATAATATAAGTTGTGAAACTGGACCTAAGTAAGACTTACGTTAAGCGAATGTTCTCTTGAAACTGAAAACATTAATAATAATAATAATGATAATTATATTTCTATTTATCTTTTTTTCTATACTATCTAACTATCTATCTATCTATTTCTCTATATCTATCTATCCATCTATCTATCTATCTGTCTATCTATTTATCCATCTATATCTATCTCTATATCTATCTATCTATCTATCTATCTATTTATCCATCTATCATTTTTCTTCCTATGTATCATTGCAACCTATCCTGTTCTATCCATATTTCTTGCAAATGTAAACAGTTAATATTACATTAATTTTTATATTAAAATATATTTTTTGTACTATAACATGCTGAATTAATAATTAATAAAATTCAACAGATTATACTATAAAAACAAACATTTACGTAAAAAAATTATTATATTATTAAAAAGTTTGCATTTATTTTTTGACGGAGATCACCATTTTCTCGCGGTTTCCGTTGAGAAACAATATGTACGTTATCTATTCGTAAAATTAAATAATAAAGTCGTAATTGAAATATGATAATAAAACTAATTTCTTTTTTTACTAGACTAAATTTATTTTTGCTACGAAAAGAAAAATGTAACAATGGAATATCTTTTATAAAACAAATAACATTTCATTTAATTTTTAATTTAAATTTATTAGCATAAATAAATTATTCTATCATATACTTTAATAACAAATCATTTTTAAAAGATGTATATATTGGCTAAGAGTGGATTTCTATTACCTTAACTTTTCGTCTCATTATAATTCTCTCTTCTTTATTTGGGCATTAATACTAAATATTCTTTATATACATATACACTATATATGTGTCATTTATTTATATATATATTGTCATGTAATTAATATATTTAATCAAGCCGTAAGAACACGAGAAGAGAGGAAGAGCGAGCAAGTGCGCGAGAGAGAGAAAGAACGAGCGAGAGAGAGAAAGAGCGAGGTATAGGAGTAGCGAGAAAAATCTCGCGGCTCACGCAGTCAATAAGCTAGACGAGCGGGAAAGAAACAAATAATATGTCGACGCTCGTCTAGTCTCCCATGTGCTACTTCGCGTGCGTGAAAAATAATTCCTCGCTTCGCACGTTCCCTTGACACGAGACGCTACCGCGTCTTTTGATGTCTCTGGAGCGTGAAAGATGAAAGAAAAGCGGAGAGATGTTCACTTAGCGATAAGCCGTTACCTCGCCTCGTGTTTACTGCCGCGCGCCGCTCAGTAGTGAGACAAAGACGGAACGATTGTCTGTCGTCTGTCTTTTTCTAACCTACTATCCATTGAATGGAAGTAGTACGGACACGAACCTAGGCGCATTTTACTTTTATCACCGCGAAAGTGCGCCTAGCGGACGTAGTTTAGGCGCATTTTGGTCAGATGGCGTATTTAAAATGCGCCTAGCCGTAGCCCCGAAATACGGCCGGTGGCCGCTCTCATTCTTCTCTCTGGTATGTGCACCGATTTTTTGTTGACTTCGAAACACGCTCCAACATGAGGAGAAAAACAACCAATGCTTCATACGTCAGCGCTGTCACTTATTATGGTTGGTTGGTTGGTTCTATTTCTGGCTCCGGAATGTATTGAAACAGTGTCCACACGCCGTTTTCCAGATAGCACTGAAAGGTGAGGTTTTATAGGGTTTGATGGGTGTTCAGAAGGAATTTGTCTATTTCCTCAAAGACGTGCATGTTCCCCAAGTCGAATGCTGCCTTGTGTAAGTCCTCTACTGAGAAATTAGCGTCCTTGTAAAACAATCTCAAAAGGAGGCAATCCGATTCCGCCGAGTGTAAAGGGCACTTAAAGAGAATGTGTTCTATATTGCGCTGCCTCCATCCTCATACACAACTCTCATCCATGCATATATTTTTATCTTTCAGATGAATCCCTGTCGCAATATGATGCGACCTTATTCTAGCCATCAAGGTGATAGTACTCCTCCTATAATTGCCCAAATCTCTGAACCAAGGAGAGGATAATAAGGCAGATGAGTGTTCGAAATATCTTTTCCCCTTGTATCCGAATTCTTGCGTAAGTTCATATACAGCATGAGCTTTATCCTTTAAAAGTTGATCATAAATTACATCCTCCGGTAAGACAGAGCAATATTTCCCATCCGGGATTTCAGAACTCAGAGATCCAAGTTTAGCAAGCAGGTCAGCCATTTCGTTGCCAGGGATATCCATATAACCCGGGATCCAGACTAACAGTATTTCCATGCCTTTGTATACCGCCATCTGTAGTTTGTATCTGATGTTAAATGACAGTTCCGATCCGGTTCCTTTCAAGTCGAGATTATTTAGCTGGGTTAATACGCTCATCGAGTCCGTAAAAATTCCAACTCTTCTTATATTCTCCTGTAGTGAGATGTCAATAGCGCAGAATGGCCATGCTTTCAACCAGGAAAATGATATGGGAGTCGTGTACACGGATCGCCTCTCTGGCTTCAAGGAAAGGAGAATACACCCCGTACCCAGCCCCGTACCCAGCCCCACCATCAGGGAGCACAGAACCATCCGTGTATATTTCTCTGTCCAGGTTAAGATTGCGAATGTCCGCGGCGGCAAGCCTCAAAATCCCTTCCGAGGATAATCTTTTGTTGTTGTTGTACCAAAATTTACCTATCCTCCTTTTAAAATTTTTAATATTATCAAAAGTATTAAGATAAATATTGATTTTGAAAAGTCTCAGCGAGAATCTGTGATAGAAGGAAGGGAGTTTATTAAGCTTGCCAAAAACTGTCAAAGCTACTTGTTTGTCATTAATAAAGTTGCATAAGGAATTTGACGGAATATATTGATTTGGTTTCAGAGTCCTCTCCCTAGACCACATGTGACTATTTTTTATGAAATAAACTAAAGGGTTATTGCCCAAGTAGAAGTTTTTGATGCAAATTTTCTTTTCCAGGAATCTCCATCTATGCCACAGAGGCCATTCCGCGATTTGGTCAAGCAATATGTTCGTCGCAGTCGTAGACATAAGTCCTAGAATAATGCGAGCGCATCCGAATTGAATTCTGCTCAAAGGTAATAGCCGATGTGGAGTAGTCTCCGTGAGGAGACCAAGCCCCCTCAGTCTAACATTGGTCTGATGAGACCTCTGTAAACTATGAGAAGGGTGGCGGGATGACACCCCCATTTGATGCCAGCAAATGACTTGAGAAGATTAACACGTTTCAGGCAGGAAATTCTAATTTTGGTTATGTGAGTCCTTCAGCTTAGGTTTGTATCAAACGAAAACCCCAAAAACGTGGCTCCTGGAGAGATCGGAATTATTTCGTCATGTAACTTTAAGAATGAGTCTGTTCTATTAATATGATTTTGGATTGTGCTGAATCTATGTGATTCATGAAATATGCACTATTTAGTTTTGTTGAGAGAGATTTTAAGGTCTAAAGCCTCAAGGTTTTTATTCAGAATTAAGAGGTCTTTCTGTAGTGTCTTATATACCTCCCCCACGCAGGAGTCTGCAGAGAAAATCACATCATCCGCATATGAAAGAATGTGTGTCTTATTATTCAGGTTTAGATGAATTTTAGATATATAGATATTGAAGAGGAGGGGGCTCAGTACCGAACCCTGAGGAACACCTCGATTACCCAGCCTAGTGCCCAAGTGGTCACCACCAAAATATCCCTTCACCCTCCTGTCCTTAAGCATAAATGCGAGAAATTTAGCAAAGTACCCAGGGATACCAAGTTCATTCAGAATATTAAGTAATTTGTCAACGTTGACATTATTAAAAGCACCTACAATGTCAATAAAGATAGCCCCAACGTATTTTTTATTAAAGAACGAGTCTTTAATGAAGGTTTTGAGCGCAATGACACTATTAGCACATGACCTGTTCTTTCTGAAACCACTTTGATAGTGAGGTATTATGCCTAAGGATTCTGCCCACCATTCCAACCTAATTTTAATTATCTTCTCGAATATTTTTGCCAAGATATTGGCAAGAGAGATTGGTCTGAATTTATTAGAGTTAGGCTTAGGAATCAAACACATGAAATAATCTCTCCAGGAGTTAGGAAACGTATTTTGTTCGATGAATTGATTAAATAAAGCTCTAAGGCTCTGAAAGAACTTATCTGGAAGATGAATGAGAATATTCCGAATAATCAAATCAGGGCCCGGCGCAGTTTTCTTTTTCTTTGCTCTATCAACTGCAAGATCAAACTTCTCCACCGTGATCTTCTCCTTAAGGAGAGAGTTGCGAGCGGAAATGTATGCCTTAGGCATGTTTGAAGGTGGAACTTCACTTTTATTCATTACAGAAGAGGAGGCAATCCGAAGGTTTTCATTACAAGGTTGCTTAACTGCGTCACAAAAAGATTCTTTAGCATCTTCAATCCTTCCTTGTGAAAATTCATTAATAATGCTATTAAGATATTTTTTATTTTTAAAGGCAGCCAAAGTTCTCCACCAGTGTCACTAATATCCGAGTTTCTATTCAGTGATTCGCAAAATGATCTATATTTAAACTTTTTAATGTTCTTGAGTTTTTTATTGATCTCCTTACAGGCCCTGTTATAATGCCCCAAGTTCTCCAAAGTAGGAGCATCTTTGAATAAAAGGAAATGCCTTTTTTTTAGCTTTTAAGATGCTCCTACATTCTTCATCCCACCAAGGAGAAGGAAGTCTACGCAAAGATGGTCTGTCCCTCATGATGGAAACTCCTGCATTAATCAGCGAGGAGTGTATCTTATCTAAAATGTTGTTGTAAGTAAAAACAGGATTTGCCGAAAGTTTCGATGCACTATCCTTTTTGTCATAAAGAAGTGACAGTTGTGACTCAAAACTATTGGAAAAATGATCCCAATCAATTTTGGAAACATAATAGTGGGGTCTGCAACCAAATTTGTCAGGAGTGAGATCAAGAAACTCAATGATAATTGGGTAATGATCGCTTCCATAAAGATAAGGGAGCGTTTGCCATTTTGCACAGGTTGATATGGAATTTGAGGTAATCGTGATATCAATGGCACTATAATGGAGTAAGTCTTTGGAAGACCATGTAGGGTTACCATTATTTAAAATTACTAAATTAGAATTGGAGATAGCATTAGCAAATATTTTGCTGGCATTAACCGGATTAAAAACGTTATCACACCAGAGAGGGTGTCTATAGTTAAAATCTCCGGTAATGATCAAGTTATAAGTACTCTTAAACTTAGCAAAAAAGTTATCCCAGAAGGGCGGATCGTTATCAACTAATGTATTGTTAGGTGGATTGTATACTGAGATCAACAGGTGCGGAATTTGGTTAATATTAAATTCAACGCAGCAGAAATTTACGTTGTAACTGGAAAGAAGCTCCTCATCAAGCGCAGTGTGTGTGACCACAAAATTGATGTCCGATCTAACTGCTATGGCTGCACCTCCTCCCGGATCTTCTCTGTTGTGGTAATAAGAATGTAATTGTTAAGATTCATCCTATCAGTGTCTTTCAGCCAGGTCTCCGAAAGACAAATAAAAGCTGGTAACCCTGGGTATTTATCAAGAAGAGCAATAAGGTCGTTGAATCTAGCTTTCAAAGATCTACAATTCCATTGCACTATGAAAAGAAAACTGTCCCGATTATTCTGAGCCGTCTTCCCTTTTTATAACTATTCCAACAAAAGTAGACCGTGTTATGATAATATTTGTTTTTTTATTATTTGTTATTTTGGAGTTGTAATACAGATTAATTCGCTTCTTGATTTGTTCTAAGATATTCTTCCTGATGTTTGACTATTAGAGACGACAATAAAGAGCATAAACCCGATATCACGTTATGGGGACCAGAAATAATTAATTGCGGCGCCGTATCTTCAGAGGTAGGGTCTATTTTTTCACCATAATCTGTGATAAAGTTGTTAAATTCCGTCAGCAAAATCTGTTCTGTATTAGGATCTTGAACAACAGAAGGAACCACCTCCATATTTGGCGAGGAGGAGGGATAATCTCCCTCCCCCTCCACCACATCTCCCAATCCACCCTAAGGTGAGGGAAGGCAAGGCAAACTTGTTGTAAGGAAAAGAGTATTACCATCCCCCGCTCGGCCAGGGGTAAAGTTGTAGGAGGGGCTTCCAGATCCAGAGGGATTGGATTGTCAATTACGGGAATATCCTCAGATGGGGGTGTCATCTGCTCCGAAGGAAGGTTGAAGCTTATTGATCTTTTTCTCTTGTATGAGGTTCTGCGCGATATATTAGACTTATGTGGACTTATCTTGTTCTTAGGAAAGTTGTCTTCCGGATGGTTTTGCAGGTTGTTCTCTCCGCTAGTCGACAGTCTGGGGTCCAAGTCCGAAAAGTAGTCGCTCTCCTTAAACCTTAAAGGGGATAAAGTCCGCAAACGTAGCAGATTCTTCAGCACTGTTAACTTCGAACCATTTATTTGGTAAACGATGCCCAGTGGATTTATAGAACGCCATGGCATCCGCTGGATTCAGACCCAATTTCGCCATGACAATCTTCGCTCTTCGGTTTTCAATAAAAGTCAGACATATGCCCGAGCTGGCCCTATGATTAGGGAAAGGAAGTTTCCTCCGCAGGCAGTTAATACAAGCCAGATTAGATGATGAGCAACTCTTCGAATGATGTCCCTTGCTCGCACAGGTTGCACATACCATGGTTTTCGAGCCGCCTCTGCATTGAGCCTCAATATGACCGAAACGTTGGCAGTTGTTGCATCTCTTTATTTTCTGTATATATGGTGCAAATCTGATCTTTTTCCCTAAATAGATAGCTGCTTTGGGAGCGGATAGACCTGCAAATGTTATCATTATCATATTGGATGGAATATACACGAACTTAGATTTATCGGCAGGATCCACTATCCTCCTTTGAATATGCTTGACTTCTAATATTTCCGGTAGCTGGGTTATATAATGAGGAGGTGCCTGTAAAAATTGTTGGATTTCCTCCGTTGTTTCAGAATAATCAATATCTCTGGTAACAACCCTGGAAGTGATACGATAATCCGGTACGTAAGCTATCCAAATGGTATCCCTAATTACCTTCTCCCCCATGACGGAGACGTTTTCCACCATTTTATTGGCCGCTACCCCGTCTGGGAAGGAGACTGAGAATTTATATGTTCCGACAGATTTCAGATTGATTGCGGATCTCCACAATGTTGGAAAAAGTCTAGCCATTATTTTGCCAATTTTTATTTCACTCATGATAATGTTTTTATCGATGCGGTTGTCTACTACTTTGGATATATATATTTCGAAAGGACCTTTTGACGAAGGTCCGTCTGTCCTATCTATTCTGCATGAGTCTTCTATGTGTTTCGGTCAATGCGTTACTAGACTTTTCCTTCGCCCCCGGCGAGGGATCAGAGGTCCTATTCGAATATGAAAATGTAGATGTAGAAGAATTATTGCGTTGATTTCTCACCGATTCCGCATACAAAGAATACTGCGATTTGTCATCAAGGGTATTTAGAGGAGATGACGTATCCTTATCAGAATCGAGGTTTCCTTTGTCTATGTCCATGGTATAAAATTCCGAAGTGAGCCTTGCAGTGCGTGACGAAAAATCTTCCGACTCGAATGCATGTAATCAACAGTGGGATTAGCGATAAAACTTTGTGAGAATGCCAGGTCTAAGATATAAAATGAGAGGAATAGGTTATACTGACAAGGAGCAACAGATCGTTCTCGTTCCGTTTCCAGAACCGAACTCTGTCCGTCACTTATTATGAGAGCAGAAGGATGGCATATACGAGTGTCAAATAAGTAGTGATTTTGGCGTAGACACAAATGTCTTGGAGACTTGAGTTATAATTGAAGAAATGAAGAAAACAAATAGTGATTGTGAAGAAAAGTGGCAAACGTCTTCATAAAATTTGTAAAACAGCATATTAAAGGAGAATATTAATTGTGTAACGGTAACGCCCGCGGGGTTCGCTGCGATCGGTCGCCCCACCGTCGCGCCCGGCTCGCCGCTTCCGCGACGCCTCGCTCGCCGCCGCGTCGGTGCGTTACTCGGGTGAAGGGCTAATTCAAGGTAGCTTCTCGGAAGAAATGTGTGTTCAGCGTTTCTGTGTTAACAAGTTGGGTGCGTCCCGCAAGGCGCCCCCGTTTATTTAAAAGACGTTCGATGCTATATAATAGATATATATATATAAGTATATGTGGGCGGCTCGCTGGCCCGGTGTGGCATCGGCGATGTCCGTTCCTTAGTGCCCGTGCTTCCTGCGTAGCCGCAAGGATGGTCCCCTATCCGCGGGATCAGAGGGGATGTTCCGCGGCCTCTTGGCGGGCGGTCCGACGTCCTCGGCCACGAGTCCTGTTGAGGGCGACTTACGCCAGCTGTTCTTTGGATAAGCGGGTGGTGGTTTATTCCGGGCAGCGTACCACGGTCACAAAGTCGGACAAGCACTGATAATTCCGTGAACCGATGCTTCGGGAATATTCTACGTCGGTGGCCAACGGCCGCCGATGCAGACGGACGAACACTTGTAAATCGACAAACAGATACTTAGAAATATCCTGTGCCGGTGGCTAACTGTTGCCGACACAGACGGACGAGCACGTATGAATCCGCGAACAGATACTTAGAAATATTCTGTGTCGGTGGCTAACTGCTGCCGACACAGACGGACGAGCACTTATATTCACGAACAGAACTTCGAAATTATTCTAAGTCGGTGGCTAACTGCTGCCGACACGGACGAACGAGCACTGGTATCCGCGCACAGGAACTTAGAAAATATTCGATGTCGGTGGCCACGGTCGCCGACACAGACGGACGAGCACGTATAAATCCGCGAACAGATACCTAGAAATATTCTGTGCTGGTGGCTAACTGCTGCCGACACAGACGGACGAGCACATATAAATCCGCGAACGAATACTTAGAAATATTCTGTGCCGGTGGCTAACTGCTGCCGACACAGACGGACGAATACGGTAATCTCGCGAACAGATACTTAGAGTTATTCTGTGTCGGTGGCTAACTGCTGCTGACACAGACGGACGAATACGGTAAATTCGCGAACGGATACTTAGAAATCTTCCGTGTCGGTGGCTAACTGCTGCCGACACAGACGGACGAGCACTTATATTCACGAACAGAACTTAGAAATTATTCTATGTCGGTGGCTAACTGCTGCCGACACAGACGGACGAATATTTAGAAATCGCGGAACGGCGGCTAACTGCTGTCGTTCGTTCGGAAACAGATACTTAGAAATATTCTGTGTCGGTGGCTAACTGCTGCCGACACAGACGGACGGGCACGGTAAATTCGCGAACAGATACTTAGAAATATTTTGTGCCGGTGGCTAACTGCTGCCGACACAGACGGACGTACACTTAGAAATCGCGGAACGGCGGCTAACTGCGGCCGTTTGTTCGGAAACAGATACTTAGAAATATTCTGTGTCGGTGGCTAACTGCTGCCAACACAGACGGACGAATACGGTAAATTCGCGAACAGAGACTTAGAATTATTCCGTGTCGGTGGCTAACTGCTGCCGACACAGACGGACGAATACGGTAATCTCGCGAACGGAGACTTAGAGATATTCTATGTCGGTGGCTAACTGCTGCCGACACAGACGGACAAGTACGGTAAAGTCGCGATGCCTGATCGGCCGACGAGGCTCGGCTGCCGGGTCTTGTAAAAGTTCCCGGTGATTCGGTACGGTGTGGAAGCTTTACTCACCGGCGGATGCCTTGCCTTCTCGTCGACTTCTCTTCACGATTCTCGCTGGAGCTCTCTTTGGTAGCTGATCTGGTGGACTCACTGTCTCTCACGGTCTGCCCCGATCTCTCGTCGAAAGCGGGTTTTATACCCTAAATTCTTCTCGACGATCGGTGGCCGATAATCGGGGGATTAGTTCCCCCCGATTTCCCGGAAAGTCGCGCATGCGATTTTCGCGAATTACCCCTTTCTGGGGGGACCGATCTTCCCCGACCGCTTCGCAGAATTCGACTTTTTCCGGCGGTCTGGCAGGTTGCCGCGGCATAGGTGTTGCCGGGCGCTTAGCGATGATTTCTCGCGATCGTGTGACGATCGGTGGTCGCCGTCACACGATGGTAACGGGGGTAAAACTCCTCGTTACAATTGTCTAATAATATTTTAAGTGAAAAATATTTTTAAATTTGAGTGTAAATTAAAAAAAAGTTATAAACCATAATTTCTTTAATGTTAATAATTTTATAGCTATAAATTTGCCATTGACGTTAAATGAATATGTATGTAATGCTATCATTTACATAGGTGGAAAATTATGTTATTGCGCTCATAAAAATAAGCAGCAGACCAAGTCGAGTGATATTTTTTTAACAAGGTACTCATATCACTCAACTTGGTCTGCTGCTTACTTCTGCTGAACATAATAATATAATTCCTCACCTATGAAAATAATAGCATTATATATATATTCATTCAACGTCGATGACAAATTTATTAACATTAAAGAAATTATGGTTTATAACTTTTTTATCTTACACTCAAATTTAAAAATATTTTTCACTTAAAATATTATTAGACAATTAATACTCTCCTTTAATATACTGTTTTACAAATTTTATGAAGCCTTTTGCCACTTTTCTTCACAATCACTATTTGTTTTCTTCATTTCTTCAATTATAACTCAAAGTCTCCAAGACATTTGTGTCTACGCCACAGTCACTACTTATTTGACACTTGTATATGCCATCCTTCTGCTCTCATAATAAGTGACAGCGCTGACGTATGAAGCAGTGGTTGTCTTTCTCCTCAAGTTGGGGCGCGTTCCGAAGTCAACAAAAAATCGGTGCACATACCTTTTAGTTCACGAGTGTACAGAGACCGCTTCGCATTTGGCCTCGGCTAGAGACCTTAGAATACAGAGTCTGGACAACCCATAGACATCTTTTCATTGGTTTATGTTCTCAGGCCCCTCAAAATGGCGGTGCGAATCACATTGCAATGGGAACACGTATATATTCAAAGTATGATAAAGGTGAAATATCGATTTAAAAGCACACATATTTTCATTAAAAATATAATTAAACTTACATTCGAAGAAATCAAATTGTTGGCTGTGTTGTTAGAAGCTGTAATATTTTGAATGTTTTTATTGTCAAATATTGTAGGGATTGCTATATCTTTCAATTTGTTCTTTTCGTCAATTCGTGGTTTCTCCCACATTTCAGTCGCAAAATGTGCCTATGGTATATTAATATTATTAAATAAAATTTAATAAATATTTATACAAATAACCTTGCAAACATAAAATAATAGTTATATAACTGTTAGTTGTAATATCTCATTTAACAATGTAACTGCCTAGACACCACACGGATGTCCATTGGACGTCCGTTATATTTTCCACTTTTTACAAAAGACGTCCATAGGACGTACGTTTGTCACAACTTCGGACATAGGACGTCCGATGGACGTATATCGGATGTCCTACAGGTCCGATGTCCAATAAGGACATCCTTGTTACGTCCAATTTATGTCCACGGACGTAAATTGGACATACGGACATAAATTGGACGTGAAACGTACATCCATTGGATGTCCGGTGCTGTCTGGGTGTTACATAACGTGTGTTATATAAAGGACCATCTACAATGGCTGCAAGAATAAGGTTGTAAGCGTAAGCAGTAAGAAATGGATCAACCATAATCGATTATTCTTGTAATAATCGATTGTGGTTGGTCTATTTCTTACTGCTTACGCTTAGAACCTGCGACGCTTCTTTCGAAGCGCCATCAAACCGCCGTCGGTCCGTGCGCCGCGGTCTTGCACCAACCGAATGTTGGGCGCAAGGTGCAGCGGGCTGCACCACTCACCAACACGAAGTTTACCCGCGGCGCGCGAATCCGTCGGGTCCGGTAGCTCGGGATTAATTCGAGTCGGCAGACGGGAAGGGTTCGTCGGAAATCGGGAGGCGGAACGCACCAAGAAGAGAAACCAACACGGCCTATTTGGCGAGACTTCAATTTATTCGATACTACCGGGAGACAAGAACCTCCCGTTTCTCGCGATACGGTACACGGGAATTCCTTCCCGGTCGCTCCTACGCGAGGTCGATACCGCTCTTCGTATACAAGGCGTTTTTGCGGAACGCGACACTTAACGGAACACCGGGAAAACAAATGGCAGGTGGACGGTCTTACAGTGACGGGAACCTCCCGGCGGCGTGGTCCTCGATGGTCGACGGGTCGGTCGGTCCGGTCGCGCGGCCAGCGGCAGTTCGGTCCTCTCCGGGATCTTGGCCTTCGATAATGCACGGCACTCCTCCACTCTCCGGTAGCGGTCAGAACACCCACTCTCCTCTCTCCTTCGCACGCGGAACACCAAATCTTATTCTCTTTTTAGAGCGGTACACAAAGCGTTTTCTCTTACGAGCGGTAAGTCGAATCTTATCGGTTCGAGGCCAAAAGCGAATCTGTCCCCTTGTCGCGAGGCGAAAAATTCAAATCCTCCTCGAGAGAGAACAACGAGTCTTCTCGTCTCTCGTTTTTCTGTTGTTCCTTTTTTTCCGTCCGGGAATCCTTCCGCGAATTCTGTTGACAATCCGCGGAACGGATGCCCTGTCTCGCTCGCTCTCTCTCTGTCTCTCGCTCTCTCTCTCTCGCTCTTTGTCCGTCTAGCCGTTGTTGTCGGCTAGCGACCCATGCGTCGAGAGCGTGCTCGACGGTACCTTGCTGCCTCGTCCGTGTTGTCGTGGTAGCCTGAGCTGAGCTGTAATAATACACGGCAGCGATAATCTTTGCGGGATAACGATAAATTTTCTGCGACGAGACGAGAAAAGAGCGTAATCACCTGAGCTGGCCGCGCCGGGCAGTGAGCGACGTCCTCGGCATCCTCCCTGGTCTTCCTGTCCGGGTGGCCGGCTCGGGAGGTCCATGGGCACAAATCTCGGGGACGCGAGACCGTCGCACCTGCACGCTCTTAATTCTTAGATCTAATTGCTTTGGGGGGGGCGCAATTCGGCTTCCCTTCCCCCCCGCAAATATCGCGTAAGGACCGAGGGTTTGCCTTGTGACGGGCGCCTCCACGGCCGCCACGTCACAAACCTTATTCTTGTAGCCATTGTAGATGGGCCTTAACAGTTACATTGTTGAGTGGGAAATTACAATTAACAGTTATATAACTGTTACTGGATGTTTGCTGGGAATATTTATAATGCAGTTTGTTAATGTGAGTAAAGAAAAATAAACTTACCTCGCATATGAAGGGGACCAGCCACCACAGGAGCCGAGGCCCCCAAGAGGGAAGAGGAAAGCGGCGCCCAGGGACCGCGGAATGGAGAAGGGCGATGAGGATGCTGCAGCTGCATCATCATCAGGAAAGGAGATCGAGGAAAAGGTAAGGCGGGTGGAGATGGACATCCTACCCTCACCAACCCTAGATAAGGAAGGGGAGTCGGAGGGCGCGCCACTCCCGACTCTCCTACCCAGCGGTCCCTCCTCATACCCCCCAGAGAAGGGCACCGCGAATGTAGGGCCTCCCTGTGCCTCCGAAGAGGCACCCGCGATAGTAGTAGTCACCACGCTCAAAGCCTCCTCGGGGGAGACTGAGTCGGAGATTGAGCAGTTCACTCCGATAGACGTCTCTTCCGAGGAGGAAGAAGTAGGGCGCCCGGAGGAGGCGTAAAAGGCTCAGCCTTCACGCTCCTCCGGGTCCTACAGGCCAACCTTGATCGCGGCGCCCGGGCCCAAGATCTCTGGGCGCGGAGACTTGTGGAACTGGGCGCCGGACTGGGGTTGGCCACTGAGCCGCATTAGATCCCGGCCAGCAGTCCAAACTGGTTCGGGAGCCGGTGCGGCTTAGTGGCCGTAGTGGTCAGTCCCGTGACGGGGTCCCCGCTCTGTGTACTCAGGGCAACGGGGACCTCGTATGTGGCGGTTGATTGGGGGCCTATCACTGTGGGGATGTATCTCCCCCACCGCAGAAATAAGGCCGGCTTCAGCGAACTCGCCCCGATTATGAGGATCCTCGATCGGGTCGGGAAGGTAATGTGACGGTGCCACCCCCGACCCGTCGTGGTTGTCGGTGACTTTAACGCCCACTCCACGAGGTGGGGGTGTAGTTCCCGACAGGAGGACCCTTGGGGCGGAGCCGTGGCCGACGGTGGTCGTGGGCGGCGGGACACGGCCTCCTGTTAATGAACAGGGAGTCGACCAGCACCTGCGTGCGGTTGAGGGGGGAGTCAGTTATTGATTTGACGTGGGCTTCCCCCTCGGCTGCCCGGATGTTCCGGGAGTGGGAGGTGGAAGTGGAGGGAGAGACGCTCTCAGATCATTGTTATATAACGTGGTCCCTCCGCCTCCCCTCTCCTCAGCAGGTGCTGGACCGCTGCCAAGGAGAGAGGAATCTTCCCTTACCCAGAAGATGGGCCCTTAATCAACTAGATGCGGACAAGTTCCAGGTGGCCGCCCTCGTGGCCACCTGGTATCTAGATAAGGAGCCAGGTGTGTGGGACCCCAGCCCCCAGAAGGGGGCTAAGGAGCCAGGTGCGTGGGACCTCAGCTCCCAGAAGGGGGATAAGGAGCTGGTGCGCATCGTGGCGTCGGTTTGCGACGCCGCGATGCGCCGGCCCTAATCCCGCCGGCGCCGGGCTACTTACTGGTGGACGGAGGCTATCGCTGATCTTCGCGAGGCCTCTGTCCATGCCAGAAGGGCATATATCCGGGCCCGGAGAGACGGCGGGGAAGTCGCGAGGGAGAAAGAGGGCTACCTCCAGGCGAGGGCAGCCCTTAAGGCCGCCATAGCCGAAAAGAGCCTGGGAGCAACTGGTGAGCTCCCTAGATGAGAATTCGTGGGGGCGTCCGTATAAACGGACGGTTGGTAAAATCCGTCCGTGGGCGCCCCCGTCTACGGAATCCTTAGAGCCCCAGGTCCTCGAGGGGCTCCTCGATATCCTTTTCCCGAGGGTGGAGAGGGGGTCCCCGCAGATCCCCGTCTCCGAGTTAGGGGACGGGAACTGGAACGAGGACCTGGAGGTCACTCCGGAGGAGTTCACCGGGAGACGGCTCGGGGCCAAGGCCAAAGCCTCTGACACCGACGGAATCCCTGGTCGCGTCTGGGCTCTCGCCCTCGGCGAAGGGAGCTTGTCCGCCGTCACGCGGGAAGTCATGAACGGGTGCCTCAGGGAGGGAATCTTCCCCCCAGAGTGGAGGAGGGCCAAGTTGGCTCTCTTCCCGAAGGAGGGTAAAGCACCGGGTGATGCGTCGGCCTACAGGCTAATATGCCTGCTGGACGAGGCGGGCAAGATGCTAGAGCGCATCATTGCCAACCGCTTCGTCCAGCATCTGTCCCTGAAGGGGCCGAACTTCCACGGCAATCAGTACGAATTCAGGCCCGGACGATCCACGCTGGATGCAATCCAGCACGTCCTGGTCCGTGTTGCCGTGGAGGAGGAGGGCGGGGTATTGCTCGCGGTATCCTCGGATATCACAAATGCGTTCAACACCCTGCTCTGGCCGGAGATTGGACGGGTCCTCGAATACCACGAAGTGCCCATCTACCTCCGGCGAATCCTATCGGCCTACTTCGGGGGCAGGGACCTCGCCTACTCGGGGAGAGGCGGGGTCTAGGGCCGGCGCACTATGGAGCACGGTGTCCCACAGGGATCAGTTCTTGACCCCCTGCTATGGGACATCATGTTCGATAAGGTGCTTTACTCTCCCCTCCCCCATGGCTACCATGTCATCTGTTGCGTGGATGACACTTTAGTGGTGGCCGAGGGGGATGGCTGGAGGGAGGCCCGCCTCCGAGCGGAGGTGGCACTGGCGTCCATGGTGGGGTCCATTTAGGACCTGAGTCTGAGGGTGGCGCTCAGCAAGACATGTTCCTTCATGACGACAGTCGGAGGGTGCCGCTGGAGACTCGGGTCCTGGTGGACGGTGTCCACGTCCGGGTCGGGCCCACAATCAAGTATCTGGGCCTGACCTTGGACAGCCGATGGAATTTCAAAGCGCATTTGGCGCCCCAGCTCATGACCTCCGGCCGCAGCATTCGCCTAATGCACCAGGCGATGCGGCCGGTGATACTGAGAGCGATTCGGGGGTACCGCACCGCCTCATACATGGCGGCAATCACTCTGGCCGGCTCCCCCCCCCCGTGAAGCTCCTCGCATCAGAGCGGTGCACTCTCTGTTGGAGGGTACGCGAGCTCCGCGAGGAGGGGGAGGGATTATCGGCCAGGGGCCTGGCGGCTTTGAGATTCCAGATCAAAGCCCGGGTCATGGAGCAATGGTCGGCCATTCCGGCCGACCCCTCCGGATTCGGGCTCCGAAGGGCCGAGGCTGTCCGCCCATGTCTGTCCGAGGTGGCGGACAGGAGGAGACGTGGACTCTTCTTTCGGCTGATGCAGGTGTTGACCGGGCACGGGTGCTTCGGTTGGTATCTGCACCGGATAGGAAAGGAACCCACTGCGAGATGCCACCACTGCCCGGAGGGCGAGGACACGGTGCAGCATACGTAGGGAATATGCCGAGCATGGGCCCAGCGGCGCTGTGTCCTCGCCCGGCGGTGGAATGCCGAACGGGGAACCTTTCGCTCTCGCGCATGGTGAAAGCCATGTGTGGGAGCGAGGAGGTGTGGGGGCGGCGGCCTCCTTATGTGAGGATGTTATGTCCCGGAAAGAGGCCGCCGAGTGGGAGCATCAACCTGGCAATCGTCGCAGGGAGCGGCGGGGCCGGAGGCGCTCCCCGGGGATGGGTAGCGGGCCCGAGGTGGCGCCGGCCGAGGAAGAACCGCCTCCGACTTTTCGGGGACCTCCTCGGCTGCCTCGGGCTTGCCTCCGTACGCGCGGGGGGAAGGGCGACGGGTGTAAACCTGCCTCCCCGCGCGTCGGAAAGGTACAGGGGGAATGGAGGCCTGTTTTGGGACAGGCCGCACTCCCCCATTCCCCCCTCAGATAAGGAGGGGGGCAGGAGAGAGGGTGGGTATCCCTCCTTTCTTTAATCATAACCGGAAGGCCAACCCGGCCGGGGTACCGTGCCCTGACTCCCTTTGTGGGAGGGGCGCGGTAATCGGGCGTGGAGCTCTCGGCCAGAGCCCTGGGGCCAGGGTGTTGGGGAGGGAATGCAGGAGTAGTTCCGCTGACTCCCCTCATCACGGCCCGATCGGTAGAAACACCGGTGGGGTTTTAGCCGGTAAGAGTCCGGCATAACCCCCTCTCTCCCAAAGGGAAGGGGGTATCCATGAAGATTTCCCTACCGTTATAAAAAAAATAAAACCTCGCATATGAAGAGGGCTTTTGTTGAATCTAAGTCAAGTCGACCAATATTCACAATCCACTGTTACCACTTTCTTTCCTTATCTGTTGGTAAGCGATGCATGGAAGTGTTTTTTTATGAATTGGAGCACTTAGTTACACAACAGTAAGGCATGGTTTATTCTGTAATTAAAGTTTATAATTATAGTTGACATTATATTCTAAGATTAAGGAACGTAACTTATGTGTTTTAACTTATGTCTTATGGAGAATTTTTAAATTTCAGTTTCATATATTGTTTATTAAGATAATAAAATATCTTGTCATTTATTACTTACCCTTTCTTTTTATCTTCTATAATAATAATAAAAATAGTAAATTTCATATAACATTCTTTCTGTTATTATAGCTCTCCTCACTATATATGTACACTGCTGATCTAAAAGGTATGTGCACCGATTTTTTGTTGACTTCGGAACGCGTTGAGGAGAAAGACAACCAGTGCTCACTGAAATATATACTAACTGGAACGAGCGCTAGCGTACGATTTTATTGTTCGCATGCGAATAAAGAGAGAGGTTCCCTGGTTCCTCTCTTATCTTTGTCAGACCCACAGTGTTGTCAAGAGTGGGGATGATGAGGTATAGTCAATGAAAAAGTTAGTCGCTGAAGTAAAGAGAGTGTAAGATATCAGATCGCGGGAAAGGGTTAGTGTTGCCATCTGTTGTAAGCAACATTCCCGGCAACATTAGCAATGATAACCGCGCGACCTCTGGGAGGTATATGTATGTATATATTCGGAGACGAGAGTGGACGAGAGCGGATCTTATCTTTTGGTTATTGAGCGATTATATTAGAGAAGATTGGATCGAATAGTATTTGAGTTATTCGAGCTCTTTAGCTTTTCGGCTTATAGCCTTATCGTTCCAATCGAGGTGCTCTTTCGGCCTTTGGCAATTATTAATACATTTCTGCCTTCGTCTGCTGCGCTCTGCATTTAATGGAGTGTATATTGTAATCCGTGAGATTCGAGACTGTTGGAGAAGTTGAAGTCTGTGCTTCCGGACATTGGTCATCGTCAGGCGAGTGCCTGAGTGCCCCGTTGACAGACGTGGCTCACACACGACTTGAGAAGATAGCCGTGTCTCAAAATGTAAAGAGGTACAGGATAATAAATTTCTAAATGTTATTGTTAATAAATCATTCTGACAAAGAAAAAGTACCATTGGAATATAGCTGCGGAATCTTACAGAGAGCAAAAAGTGAAAGAGTGAAAGAAGAGTGAGAAGTTATAAAAATTATAAAAGATTATAAATAGAAAGTTAAAAAATAAAATGGTAAAATACTGTTGTATTTGCCAAGAAAGATGGTCTTCAAACAAAGATATATAATTCTTCAGGTAATACAATATTATGAAATATTATGAACAATATGATACAATATTATGAATATTATGAAAATATTATGAACACAATACAATATTATGAATACAATATTATGAACAAACGTAACTCCTGATAATTTATTTAAATGTTGGATTTATTAGTTTTATGTTTTATATGTAAATTTCCGAAAGGAGAAAGCATATTGAATGAATGGTTGCGTGTTATACTGACTGCAAAGGAAGTAAAGTCAAATTTGCGAGTGTGCTATACTCATTTTGATAAATCGGATTATTATCGAAGCGGTAATAAACTTATATTAAAAGAAACTGCATTTCCAAATATTTTTCCACGACTTATTTTGATGGATATCACTAATTGTGAAAAAATATTAGCTCAAAATACTGCAAAATCATGCATTATGAATGAAAATACTATATCTGTACATAATAGAGATACAGACAAATTCTTGTCAGATGAACCATTACAAAAGAAAAAAAAGGACGAGAAAGAAATACAAGTATCTCCTGATATAAAAGTAAATTGATTTGTCAAATTACTTTACCCTTATTCCTTTTTTTGTATCCTGTTTATTAATTTTTGAATTGTATTTTAATTAAAATGTATCAACACAAATATCTCCATAATTACTTAAATTAAGTTAAATTAACGACTTAAATCGAGAAGAAAAATTGAAGCGTGAGAATAACATTTTGAGATGTAGATTATACCGAAGAAACTTAAAACTGTCAAATGTAAGAGATATGTTGCAGCATTTAAAAGATACAGGTAACTCATCAGATGAGTTAGAAGAAACACTCTTTACACAGTTTAGTGGTTTGAAATTGGATTTATTAAACAATGAATTGAAGAATAAAGATAAAAAGTTTGAGAGAACGTACTCAGATAAAATAAAAATGTTTGCATCTACGTTATATTTTTACTCTCCAAAAGCATATAATTTTGTTCGTGAGTACTTAAGTCTACCTCATTAAGTAACATTACGGAGATATGTTGCACATTTTTCTTGCGAAGCAGGTTTTCTTGATACCGTTTTTCAGTTTCTAGAAAAGGAAAATATTGATTGTGACTATTTAAAAGATGTAGCTTTAATAATAGACTCAATGTCCATTAAGTCTAGTGTAATATATGACCACAATAATAGTGTATTAAAAGGATATGTAGATTATGGATTTGTTGGGAAAGACCTAAAATTACAATATAACGAAACAGATATTGCTTCAGAAGCTCTAGTATTTCAGATTGTTTCATACAGCACTAAATTTAAGATTCGAGTAGCTCACTTTTCATAAATAAAATTACAAGTGACAATCAAAGTAAATTACTTCTTGAGGCAATAAAAAGATTGTATGATGCTGGAATTATAGTGCGCTCTATTACTTGTGATGGAGCAAAAGTTAACTTTTCTACAATGATAAATTTAGGTTGTTGCTTTACCTCAGAAATAATGACAACTCATTTTAAACACTCATGTAATAATTCTAATATATATGTAATATTTTATGCATGCCACATGATAAAATTATGTAGAAATGTTTTCGCAGAGAAAAATTTATATTCAGCTAGTGGAAAGATAGCATTTGAATATGTAAGAAATTTACACAAGATGCAAGAGGAAATTGGTTTCAAATTTGCTAATCGTTTGAATTCTACACATATCGATTATAGCAATAAGAAAATGAAAGTTTTTTTAGCAGCGCAAGTGATAAGTTGTAGTGTCGCTAATGCTATTGACTATTTAAGAAGCGATAAATGTGAACTACTTCAGGATAGTTACGTGACTACTGAGTTTATCCGAATATTTGATAGATTATTCGACTTGTTGAATAGTAGGAATTCATATGGCAAAGGATTAAAAACACTATTTGTCTAACTTTAACTACTGGAATGATGTTTTAAATGAATCAAAAATATACATCCGTAATCTAACATGTGAAGGAAAATCAATATTATAACATCAAAGGCACACTTTTGCCCTTGGATTTTTGATTGATATAAAAAGTATTCGTGGACTAGCAATAGATCTATTGAGTAAAATAGAGAAACCTTTAAAATATTTTCTTACATATAAAACTTCTCAAGACCACATAGAATTGTATTTTTGTTGTCTTCGCTCACGTGGTGGTTTTAATAATAATCCTGATATTCAGCAATTTCTGTGGTCTGTTATATAACGGCGACTTTTATATAAAAATTTTGTGACTGCAAGTCTTAATGCTAACTGTTTATTAGATATTTGTGGCTCTATACCCATTTATGAATTTCGATCAAACAAAAGAATTCTCTGTGAAAATACTGTTGATGATAGCGTACAATTTACTGATGAAATGCTTCAGGTTCTTAATGAGAACAATTTCTCAAATTATGAAGAAAATATTCTCTATTATATAAGCGGTTATAATGTTTCCAAATTTGTGAAGACATGCAATTGTTCTTATTGTCATGAAATATTACTTGCGCCATTCAATGCTCGAGACCACGATTACGTTAATAATTCAAGTGATCGTGCGCCTTTTTTCACTTTTATAAATAAAGGACAGCTATGTATTCTATCCAATATTGCATATGAAATAGTTAAATTCGCGGAAAAAATTTTCAAAGCAGAACTTCATGTTGGCTTTATGGGATGTGTTCGGAACAAGACCGAACATATGATAGCTCCGGAGAGCTGGCTGGAAATAAGGGATCGCAGAGTGACGTCCGCCTGCGTCCAGGTTCGCTCGAGTCCGCTCGATGACCAACCGGTCGTCCTAATCGAAGGCCGGGGCCCCGTAAGGCGACCACGGAGCGCGCCGACGCACCGCGCTCAGGGACGGCGGCGAAGCGATCAAGAGAGAGAGAGAGAGGACACGCACGCAATGATGGAGAGACGCCGAAGTAAAACGCAACGAACGCAGTAGACGCAATAGAGTGTCGCGGAAGTAATGTAGTAAAACGCAAGTGGAACAACGCAGGAGAACGACGCAACTATGTACAAGCGAAACAACGTCGCTTACGCAAGTCCCGCAGGACACACGTCCGTGACGTCAACGGTGCGCGGCACCCGAAACACGCCAAGGACGTGCAACGAAACGACCTCCGTCGTTTCGGATGGCCTGCCCTTCCGGATGTAACGGCCAATAGCCAGCCACGGTCCCGAGGACGCGTGGAAATGGAGCTCCGAGAGCTCCGGCTCGCAGGACGACCAAGTCGCTCCTGCGAGAAAGCCAAGTTTCCAACGGACACTTGGACGAAGGAGCGCGAACGCTCTAGGACTGCGACCGAGCCGCTCCAAAATCGCCAAGGCCCCCTACGGACACTTGGGCAACAAGGGAGCTCGAAGCTCCGAGGAGACGGTCGAGTCGCTCCTAAGATCACGGCAACGCCATGAGTCCGAGATCACAACGAGATTCGAACCATTAGCCTCAACCCAGCAGGGTGTATCGGCGCCACCTTCAACTCAGCAGAGTCTATAGAGCAGTGGTTCGAATCTGAACGAAAGACCGATCGCCCTAGGAAGCCTAGAAAGCGCGTCGGTAATCACCAGTACACGGTGCACTAACGCGTAGCACTACTTGCTACCAAAACTGGCCAGGCAGAAGACAAGGCAAGGCAAAACCAGGCATGGAGCGTCCGGTTATATATCCAGGCGGTCGAATCTTGCCTGCGGGCAGAGGAATCGAATATGTAATAAAGTATTATATATATATACATATACTCACACGGAACAAAACTTCCAATAGACGTCTACTAGACATCTACCATGGAGATTGAAAACTTCTAGTGGACGTCTATTTGAAATCGGGTAAATCTCCACTGAACGTCTAAATGTCCGCTTCTGAAACGTTCCACTGCATCTCCAGTAGACGTTCTAAATGGAGCTTCTATAGAGATTACACGCGCAAATATAGAGGTTTAATAGAATTGTTATGGATGTTTAGTAGAAATCTTATGGACAATTTCTGGAATTAAGGGTATATTTGAGAATTTAGATGGATGCTTTTTAAAGGTATGGATAAAGGTATGGATATATCTGGGAATTCATGTGGACGATTGGTAGAAATCGCATGAATGTTTCTCGCAATTTGTACTTAATCCTAGAAATAAAATAGGAGCAACAAATATGGGTAAAAGTTGTTTTTATTTATTTAATGGGAGAACAATACATGTTATATATAAATATATATATCATATATAATCGTCAGTTTCATTTCTTCAGTTGCAATATGCACAAACGTATGGCCAATATTTTCGTCGACCATCATGTTGATGCTATTCTAACGCTTCGTAAAGGTTACCAAGAATCTTTTGTGCCAATACCTTGAGAAAAAAAGAGATTTCAATTAGTCTCACAGAAAAATGATATAACTTGTTAATATTAGAAAATGCACAATATACGTTTCAGCAACTATGACTGAAAATACATTTTACTCCTTTCTAACAATTTAACATGTTATAAGAAAAATCTTAAGAAGATTCCACATCTTAGTATTGGGTGAGTGCAAAAGTTCGTGCGGAGTTTCAATAGATGGAGTTATAAGCGTCGTAAAGTGTTGTCATTAATACTTCCATCTACATATTATATAACGTTGGAAAGGTGACGTCTTCAGCTGTTATTAAAAAAAAAATCATTTGCTTTCATACAAACTGCTTCGAGAAATATCACTTTAAAAATGAGTATCGATAAGGTGCATTTACGGCATGTTATGCTTTACGAGTTTCGGAAGGGAATAAACGTTGCCGCAGCCGTAAAAAACATTCAGGATGTTTATCAGGATGAAGCACCAGCTAAACGAACTGTGGAAAAATGGTTTGCTAAATTTCGGCGCGGAGAATTTAACCTTGAAGACGAGCCACGCTCTGGTCGACCTTCTGACATTGATGACGATGTTTTGCGTACTTTAGTGCTCAATAATCCGCGAATTTCAACAGAAGAAGTTGCTACAGCACTAAACGTTGATCGATCAACCGCTTTTCGGCATTTGAAAAAGATGGGATTCGATTTGAAGCTCGATATATGGGTGCCCCATTTGCTGACCGAGAAGAACAAAATCAAACGAATTTCTGCAGCCGTTTCTTTACTCGGGCGGCTCAATAACGAGTCGTTTTTGGATCGACTAGTGACGGGCGATGAGAAATGGGTCCTCTACAACAATGTTCAGCGCAAACGGACATGGAAACAATCAGGTGAGCATGGTGACGCAATGCCAAAGGCCAGTTTGCACCCGATGAAGGTGATGCTCTCTGTTTGGTGGGATTGCAAGGGCATAATCTATTTCGAGCTTCTCCCCGCTGGCGAAACGATTGATTCGGACAAGTACTGTCGCCAATTAACCAATCTGAATCGAGAAATAAAAGAGAAACGTCCGATTTTGTCAAATCGCAAGGGAGTCGTCTTTCATCGCCAGACGACAACGCCAGACCACACGTTTCGAAAAAGACGCTGCGCAAACTGAAGAGCCTGAAATGGGATGTCTTAACGCATCCACCGTATTCTCCTGATATCGCACCATCTGACTATCACTTGTTCCAGTCATTGCAAAATTATTTAAATGGAAAAAACTTTGACTCTTTGGAGGCCTTAAAAAACGGCGTCTCTTCGTTCTTCGAATCTAAACCGCGCAGTTTTTATGATCGAGGCATCCGTATGCTGCCAGAACGTTGGGAAAAGATTATAGAAAACGATGGAGAATATATCATTGATTGAATAAAGATTTTTGTTTGCCTAATCACTGTGTGACTTTTACTCACAAACTCCGCACGAACTTTTGCACTCACCCAATAAATAAAAAAAACCAAACGGCACAAGAGAATCAAAGCACCAATTATAAATATTTTCATGTGAACTCAGTTTATACTACGTAGTATCGAGTTGATATGACAAGATTTAATATTGGCATTTTTCAACTTCCTGCCTCTTCTTTTCTCTGGCAAGTTGTACAGTCTATACAGTCTATACAGTCCCAATTTGTACAATCTGAGCACAAAAGAAACAAATTTGTTCTTTTTTTAAGGAAGCCTCAGAAATGTGCGATACACGTAGAAATCATTACATTTGAAGTGTGTCATATTTCATCATTGGCTATCACACGAAAAAAGCTGAAAAGAAATTGAAGATTGTGTAACGAGGCGCAGATGCACCTCGTTACTACCGGCCCGACCGACCACCTGTCGGGCCGAAGAACGGCGCTGTGCGCCACCCTAAAAGTACAGAAACGATCGCGCCGCCGCTATCGCGCGCCGCGGCGATCACGCGCCGTCACCGTGCCTCGCGCCGATAGGTACGCCGCTCGATCGCCGCCGTATCAATCCTAGCGCGATCAACTATAAAACGGCGGCGATCGAGCTTCTAGTCACCAGACCGATCCATACCGCCGTTCGATCCAGACGCTCTATGCTGAAGGAAAGAATATCCGGACCGTCTCGCTCTGCCTTCCGCTTTCCGACTACCCGACCGGCGACTAAGAACACGGGATTGTGCGTCCGCAGTCTCGATCGAGCGTTCTCGATACTTGGCCGTCTCCCGTCTTCCTGGGCTCGTGCGTGCGCGTGCTCAGTCGAGCGTACTCGACAGTCTCTCGCCTTTACCCGCCGCCTTGAGTCAGGGGTTCGTCCGTCGGCGAACTCCGCTGAGCGTATTCAGCCTTTAGGCGATCCGTCTAGCGACCAAGAACCCGGGACGGTGCGTCCGCCGTCTCCGCTGAGTGTCCGCAGCACTTGGTCGCTTTTCTCCGCGAACGTAGGGAAAAGGGAAGATGCGTACGCCTTCTCTATCGAGAGTCCTCGGCCCCGACGGACGAAATCATTTCGCGTACCCCGCGACTTGCGTGCGTGCGTTCGACCGAGAATCGAAATCTCCGGTCCGGCGACCATTTATACGCGAGCGATTTCGAAGCGAATATTGGGCGATAATTGTTCGAGACGCCCAGCGTCGCGAAGCGTGACCGATCACCGCATCGTTACCGTCGTTACCGTCTACACACGTCGCGCAATAGGCCCCGCCTTCCATAGGGCACGGCCTATCCGTCCGTATGAGCGCTTGTACCGCTCACCGCACCGCACCGTACCGTACCGACGCGCCTTATAGACGCAACCCGCGACACCGCCTTCGGGGCCGAACTCTTGTATCCCAGTAAGCATACAATAAAACTAAGTTATTTCAATTGCCATTATCAAGTGTCTCGCTGCTTTACTCCTCCTCGAATCCGGACTCCGACGAGCCTTATCCGCGCGAAACGCGTAGCAGCGACCGAACCGCGGAGTTCGTCCGTTATAATTGTAATGAAAACAGCAAAAGCTTTATGTTATCAACAATACCTTGTTGATTGTAGTGATTAGATAATTTACATTAGAAAATTGTAATGAAAATAGTACAAACTATACGATACCTTGTTACCATACCTTGACAGCGTATCAAATTAATATTTCATACCTGACGAATTGCTTCCTTCGCCCTTTGATAAGCAATAATTTTTATACTTATCCCTTTACAGTTATTCCGTTACAATATCCCTGTTGGCCTCCTCATGTCCGGTTGCACGTTTCTCCTCATTGTGGTATCTTGCCTTTGAATGTCGAAACTATTCCATGACTCTTTGCTGGATTCTTCTTTGTTCGGAATCCTTCACATTTTGAAGAACATATCCTAGAAAAATAATTTTCATGAAAGATGGCAAGAAACTGAGATATATATTCAATAATATATAGTGTTGCTTGATAAAAACGCCGGTTTTATATAATTATATTTTGCATGTACTTACTGAAAATCACTTTCATAATTTCAAGATTTTGTAACGGCTCTTTCCACGTCAGCCTTCCCAATTATATTTTTTCGCAAAATTGTTGGAACATATTTTGTAGAGCCCTCTTCACGGCGTCATCGACGCTGATCCTTCCTATAGACTTCACATATGCACGCTGCAGAAGAATATATTTTGTATAAGACTATAATATACAGAAAGAGAGGTAAGGAGACAGGAGGAGAGAAGGGGGGGAGAGAGAGAGAGAGAGAGTGGGGGAGGGAGAGAGAGAGAGAGAGAGAGTGGGGGAGGGAGAGAGAGAGAGAGGGGGAGAGAGAGAGAGAGAGAGAGAGAGAGAGAGCGGAAAGTTCTATGAATATAAATACAAATTAATATTTATCAACTTACTATTGCTTCAGCGTCTGTGGCGTTTTCTTTTAAAATTTCTTCAATGTCCATTAATTGCATTTTTGTTTTCAAAGGAAATAATTTTTCCACTTCTTCCATGGAACATTGCGGGTTTTGTGTTTTCTTCTCCTCTTTACTATTTCTTACTAAAATATCCAATAGGCCCAGTGCATGTCTGACATCATATTTTATTATCGTTATTTCTCTGCTCAGCTTTTTAATATGGTCCACTGCAAGTACATATTATTATTAATTGGCATTATTGGTAATGTTCGGAACTAGCCCGAACATATGATAGCTCCGGAGAGCTGGCTGGAAGTACGGATCGCAGAGCGACGTCCGCCTGCGTCTAGGCTCGCTCGAGTCCGCTCGGTGACCGTCCGGTCGTCCTGATCAAAGGCCGGGGCCTCGCAAGGCGACCACAGACCCTGCTGATCAGGCAACGTCGCGCGCCGACTGGGCCATGCCCAGGGACGGCGCACAGTGTGCCGAAAGTCGTTAAACGTGGCCAAAATAGAAAAAAATGAAAATCGTAATTTTGGTTCTCCTTTACAGTATATTTTCGAGAAGGTCCAAATTAATCAATTGTAGTTAAAGTATGTCGGAATTCGACTGTATAACGAAGATATGTAGAATGAAAGTTATATATATTGAGATGTAAGAAATAGCACGATTATAATCCTCAGAATGATATATTTGATTTTGCTTCGAAAAAGTTTCCATGATCAAAATGACTTTTCCTGTTTAATATCTGATCCGTTTACTTTCATTTACAAGGAAAATAATATTAGAATGTCTTATATATATTACATAACAATTAAATGTAAAGAAGTTATATTTTATATACTGTCTATCATCTATTTCGTGGCATACAAAAAATTCACGATCTGCCACAACGTTGTACTTTTGTCAAAACAAAGGTAGGATGTTTATTAGTGTTTATACAGAAGTAGAAACAGCGGTATCCAGCGGTTACAAAGATATGATAAATTTTATGAGCAACGGTCCATACTTTATACGCTTACGATCAAATCCTCTCACTTGTAGATAATACCAATTCATATCAAAATTAAATTGTCGACCAAAATAATTTACTCTAGTTAAATTTATGACGTTGGCAAACAAACTAACAATTAACCACAAACTTTAAACTTTTATTTATTTCGAACGCGATAACACTGTTTAATAATGCAACCTAGTAAACATTTCACTAAAGTAAACATTTTATGTCGAATATGTAACATATATGTTTAATGTTATACACAGAGATGTTTCTGCTATATATCTGACTTTCTGTTACATATCTGAAACGCAACAAAGCTTATATATGTAGCAGAACCATCTCCGTACATAACATTTAACATATATGTTACGTATATGACAAAAAATGTTTACCGTGAACATTTACGGGGAAAATTGTAGTTTTTAACGTAAAATAAACAAATCATAAATTGATAAACACATAAACAATATAAATATAAAAACTAATAACAATAAAAAATATGAATATGAAAATTATAAATATAAAGCTAAAGGTTATATAAAATAAAATTTTTTGCTGCTTTGTTTTTTATATATATAAACTATTTATAACATTACCGTGACAGAAATCTCCCCCTAGGTAGAAATGGGAATCCTTATTATTATTATTATTATTATTATTATTATTATTAAAAGACTTTTGCTTTCCTCAGACCCTGTTATTTCGTCCTTCAAACAAACTTCTGTTAAAAAAGCTGATCCTTTTCCTACAGAAGTTCTTCAATTGTTAGCCAGCTCCAACTTTGGAAGATACAGTTTTATTGCATGGTGAATAACTATATATCATAAAATAATATAAAAACAAATAAATATAAAAAATATAAAAACAAAAAAAATAAAATAACAAAATAAAAAAAATAAAAACAAAAATATACGTGTTATTTACTTAAACAATATGTCAATATTATTTATTATGCTATTAGTTATTACGCTATTATGTTACTTTCGTATTTTTCCCGTAGAATCGAGTAACGTAATCAGTTTTGTTCTACAGTCATTATTTAGTTATTTGTTTATAACAATTAATTGCAACGGTTGATTTTGCAACTTCCTTTTTACGGGAAAAATGACTCCTCATGCTACGGTTCTATTTCCAATTATCAGTTTTTGGCTAACCTTCCTGGTTCAGTCATAATTAATTTTGGCCACTTTTCGAGGCTTTCGGCACACTGTGCGGCGGCGAGAACATGAGAAAGAAGCACGCGCACGTGCCGACGTAAAGTGACACGCAGTGTAAACGCAATGGACGCAATAAACGCAGTAGTAACGCAGAAGAGAATAACGCAGAAGAACGACGCCGAAGAACCTAAACGTAGCTATATACAAGCGAAACAACGTCGCCTACGCAAGTCCGCAGGACACACGTCCGTGACCGTCAACGGTGCGCGGCCCCGAAGCACGCCAAGGACGTGCAACGAAACGACCTCCGTCGTTTCGGATGGCCTGCCCTTCCGGGCGTACTGGCCAATAGCCAGCCACGGTCCCGAGACGCGTGAAACGGAGCTCCGAGAGCTCCGGCTCGCAGGACGACCACGTCGCTCCTGCGAGAAAGCCAAGTTCCCAATGGACACTTGGACGAAGGAGCGCGAACGCTCTAGGACTGCGACCGAGCCGCTCCAAAACCGCCAAGGCCCCTACGGACACTTGGGCAATAAGAGAGCTCGAAGCTCCGAGGAGACGGTCGAGTCGCTCCTAAGATCACGGCAACGCCGTGAGTCCGAGATCACAAAACGAGATTCGAACCATTTGCCTCAACCAGCAGGGTGTATCGGCGCCACCTTCAACTCAGCAGAGTCTATAGAGCAGTGGTTCGAATCTGAACGAAATACCGATCCCCTAGGAAGCGCGTCGGTAATCACCAGTACACGATGCACTAACGCGTAGCACTACTTGCTACCTAAACTGGCCAGGCAGAAGACAAGACAAGGCAAGGACCAGGCATCGCGCGCCTGGTTATATATCCGGGCGGTCGAATCTTGCCCGCGGGCAGCGGAATCGCGAGCCGCGCCGTGTAGCGGCCGCGGTTGGACCTAGTGGGGGTCCCGCGCGCTCGCTCGCGAGAACCCGCGTCCCCCGCCGCTAGCGAGAACGCCCCGGGAACCAGGCCGCCCGCCCTGCAGCGTTGACTCGCACCGACTATCCGTACAGCACGTGATGCTGTACGGAACATACCGCCCGCCTCCGTCGCGGCGACGGAAGTCAGTGGTGGAACAAACCCCACCAGGAAGGCCCGACTCGCGGCCTGGCGGCCGTGAGGGCCTGTTGATCCCCTTCATGTTGAAGGTTGATTGGGATGAGCCCCTTTCGGATCCACAGGGAGCCTCACCAGCTTGACCAGTGGCCGGGTCAGGTCGAGTCCGCTGTGCGCACCTGCGCCACGCGGACGTGCCCATCCGGGCCAGGCAGCAAGCCGGTGATGCGGCCGAGAGGCCACCGGTAGGAGGAAATCGGCTATCCGCCAAGAGCACGAGGTCGCCGATGTCTAACGGACGAGAAGCGATGAGCCACTTGCCCGGACCTGGAGCTGGGCTAGATATTCTCTAGACCATCGCTCCCAAAGATGCTCCGTCATATGCTGGAGCAGCTGCCAGCGACTCATCCTCGCGACCTGAACGTCCCCGAGGGATCGCTCAGGCGGACACAACAGCGGGCGCCCAATCAGGAAGTGCCCAGGTGTCAGGGCCTCCAAGTCCTGTGGGTCGTCCGTCAACGGACACAATGGCCTGGAGTTGAGACAGGCCTCAATGCGAGCTAGAAGAGTGGCGAACTCCTCATAGGTCAGTGCCTGCTCTCCTATTACCCGTCGCAAGTGGTGTTTGACGGACCGCACTCCTGCCTCCCACAGTCCGCCGAAATGCGGAGCTGAAGGAGGCATGAACTTCCAGGTGATGCCCTGGTTACTCAAGGAGGCCGCGACCGGTCCCCCCAACGCCATGACCGCCTCAAATTGCCCTCGCAGCTCGCGGTCCGCACCCACGAATGTGGTCCCCCTATCGCTATACACGGTAACCGGCAGGCCCCGCCGGGCCGCGAAACGATGAAAAGCCGCTAAGAAGGTCGGGGCCGAATAGTCACTGACCACCTCCAAGTGGACAGCGCGCGTGCTGAAGCAGACGAAGACAGCAATATATCCCTTGGAGGTGGTACGTCCGCGCCCTCGAGACGGACGCACCGCGACCGGTCCAGCATAATCCACCCCGGTGGCAGAAAACGGTGGATGAGGCAACACCCGATCGCGAGGCAGCGGAGCCATGAACGGGGTGATCGGGGTGCCCTTATGACGTGTGCAGCGCACACAGCCCCGATCACCTGGCGCACGAAAGAGCGCCCAGCTGGAATCCAGAATTCGCGCCTCACGGTGAGCAACGTAAGCTGCACTCCCCCGTGCAGCGTGCGTTCGTGCGCATCTCGCACAACGAGAGTCGCGAGCCGAGAGCGTCGCGGTAGCAGGACTGGCTGCCGTGCATCGATCGGTAACGCTGAGAATTGCAGGCGGCCCCCCACCCGCAAGAGGTCCCGCTCGTCCATCATGGGGTTGAGTGGCCGCAACGCCGATCTCACCATCAATGCTCCCCCCGCTTCAGACGGCCCAATTCCTCCGCGAAGAAGCGGTGCTGCGTAACCCGCAGCAGGCGCAGTCGAGCTTCACTCAGCTCGTCCGCCGTTAAGGGTCCACTGATCCGTGGGACTCGCAGGAATCGTCGTACATAGGCCATCACGCGGATGGCCTTGCGGAAGGAGCATGCTCGGAGGACACCGGACCAGTCCTCCGGGTTCACGGCCACCACGTGAACCATGCGCCGTTCCTCGCAAGTGCTTCGGTCGCTCCGACGCAAGTTAGACCCGGCCAGCCCGCCGGGTCCTCGACAAGCCAGGAGGGGCCACGCCACCAAAGGGCGTGTTCTCGTAGCCCGCCGGCCAACAAACCCCGGGAGGCGCAATCCGCGGGATTGTCGCCGGACGGGACATGCCGCCACGAGGCCCGCGGAAGGCTCTCGTGAATGTACGAGACGCGATTGGCGACAAAGGTGGTCCATCGAGATGGATGCCCTGTTATCCAATGGAGCGTGACAGAGAGTCGGTCCAACAAACCAGGGAGGCCTCGGCACAACCGAGCGCCTCCACAATGGCCTTCATGAGGCGCGAGAGCAGCTGCGCACCGCACAGCTCCAGGCGGGGCAACGTTACCCGCTTTAGTGGGGCGACCCTGGTCTTGGACGCCAATAGAGCGATACGGGTGGTCCCATCAGACCGTCGAGCCCGTAAGTAGATGACGGCGGCGTACGCCCGCTCCGAGGCGTCCGAGAAGCCGTGAAGCTGGATCTCCACTTCAGGCGACCATCCGGTCCAGCGAGGAACTCGGATCGCGGAAACCTCCGCGAGCCCGGTGCTAAAGGCGTCCCAACGTCGCGAGAGCGGAGAAGGGAGAGCCTCGTCCCAACCGAGCCCGGCCAACCACAAGTCCTGAAGGAGATCTTCGCCAGTACTACCATAGGCCCAACCAGCCCAGGGGGTCGTATAATCGCGCAACGACTGACAAGATGCCACGCTTCGAGATGGCTGATTGAGCCCCGGGGTTGACCGAAAAGCAGAATGCATCCTCGACCGGAATCCAACCGACCCCCAGCACAGATGCACCCACGGCCCCAGGGTCCGGCAGAGGCACCAAAGGCTCGCGGTCCCCCTCCGGGATACCGGACAAGAGTTCCGGATGTGAGGCCGCCCACTTCCTGAGTCGGAACCCGCCCGCCATGAGCAAGCTGCTCAGCTCACGCTGTCGACTGCGTGCCTCCCCAAGGTCATCTGCCCCCGCAAGAATATCGTCGACGTAGGTTTGTCGACAAAGTAAGTCTGCTGCCCGGGGATAACGTTCCCGCTCATCCAGCGCCAGCTGGTGCAGCGTGCGGATGGCCAGATAAGGAGCGCACGCCATGCCATAGGTGACCGTGGTCAACCGGTACACCGATATTGCCTGCGTCTGGCTGTCTCGCCAGAGAATCTGTTGGAGGTGTTGATCCTCCGGAGCCACCCGCACTTGACGAAACATTTGCTCGATGTCTGCAGAGAAGGCCACTCGATGCATGCGCCAGGCAAGTAGAATCTCGCCCAGTTCTCGCTGTAAGCGCGGCCCCACGTGCACCAAGTCGTTCAACGACCGGCCATTGGTGGACGCCTGCGAGGCGTTGAACACCACTCTTACCTTAAGCTCGGGGGCTTGTTTAATCACCGGGTGATGTGGAATAAAGTAAGAGGGCCGCGGGGTCTCGACATTGAGCGGCAGGCGGATCATATGCCCCTGTCGTTCATAGTCATCAAGAAAGTCGCGATAGGCCCCGCCCAAGGAAGGCTGCCGAAGCAGTCGCCGCTCCAAGCGATGCAACGAGGCAGTGGCAATCCGCCGAGTGTCGCCGAGAGACAGCTCAGTCGGAGGGCTCCTGAAAGGCAACCGCACCTGATAGCGGCCGTCCGCACGACGCCGAAAGGACGCCGCGAAAAACTCTTCACAAGCCCGCTCCTCCTCAGAGAGCGGGGAAGCAACCGGAATCTCCTCCACCTCCCAGAAGCGCCGCAAGAGATCCGCCATGTTGTCCGACGCACACTGCACCACATGACAATGAGAGCCGCCCGCTCCGGCGGCAGACGGGAGAGCCCCGAACAGCACCCACCCCAAGCGGGTACGCTGCGCGACGGGAGCTCCCCGTGGCCCCGGCGAAGCCCCGTCAACACGATCTCGGCGAATACCTCCGCTCCAAGTATCGCCTCGATGCGCTCGTCATCATCGTGATCATCCGCCAACCGGAGGTTCCTCAAATGCGACCACTTCCCCGTCAGCCGAGCCCTCTGCGGGGGGTGGTACGCCGTAAGCCTCGGTAGAATGAGGGCCTCCACCGTGGTGGAGAACGGGAGGCCAGCAGTTGCCCTGAGCCGCAATGACGTGCTGGCCCGCACCCGCTGAGGGGGTCCCTCTGAGACGCCCGACAGCCCAACATCCACCGATCTACGAGACGCGCGCAGCCGCTGCGCAAGCGCCTCGGACACCAGGCTCACCTCAGAGCCCTGGTCAATGAGCGCTCGAACCACAGCGGATCGGCCATCGGACGCCATCAGACAAACCCTGGCTGTGGCCAAAAGCACTCGCTGCGCAGGCATCCGCGTCGCAGCATGCGCCGTGACCGGCGCTTCCCCCGACGCCGGGGCCGGAGACTGCTGGCGGAGTGCAGAAGTGAATGGTGCGGCTCTCCGCACTCCCGACATCGACCCTTAGACGGGCAAGCGGCCGCCTGGTGCGACGGACCGAGGCAGTTGAAGCACAACCCGAGAGCGCGCACCCTTGCCCGTCGCGAAGAGACCGGCCGATCTTTAAAGGCCGAACACTCTCTGAGTCCATGCTCAGAACCGCACTCAGCGCAACGGGTCGGCTTGGGCCGATGGAGATGCAGCGATCGTCGACCAGTCCGCTCGGATGCCGATGAGGCACGGGGGCTGTCCCCAATGGACGGAGCCGCGGCAACCGCCTCGAGCGCCACCCGACGCTCGTCCAGGAAGACTGCCAGTCTGTCCCAGCTCACTGGCTCGCGCCGGTCCGCGGTGGCCATCTCCCAGGCCCGCCGCGTTGCAGAGTCTAGCTTGGAACGGAGGATATTGACCAATATCACGTCCCAAGCATCCACTGGCTGGTCAAGAAGGCGCAAGGCGGCTCGCAGCTCGCTGGCTCGATCCAGCAGCCTCCGAACCTCGGAGACGCTCTCCTGACGCATCGGGCCAATATCCCGGAAAGCGTCGAGATGCTGGTCCACAAGCAAACGACGGTTATCGTACCGTGCACATAGCGCTTCCCACGCTTGCTCAAACGAGCCAGTAGCGACGCCGTAGTGCCGGAGCAGACGTTCAGGCTCTCCCGACACGCTCTGTTTTAAATAATGCATCCGGTGAACTGATGCTAACGACGGGTTATCGACTATTAAGGACTCGAAGAGATCCTTAAAATTGCGCCATTCGTCAAACTTCCCTTCGAACTTCGGAATGGGAATGCGAGGCAACGAAGCCTCGGGCACTACGCCTGCGCGGGACTGCGTGAGCAGCCGACTCAGCCTCCTGAACCTTCAACCCATCGAGCAGGGTTTGGATTTCTGCGCGCTGCGCAATGTAGACTTCCTGTACCGTGCCACAGGCATCCTGTCGCACGTAGTCCGACTCTCGCACGGTCTTGAGGCGAGACGCTCGGATCGTGCGATGATCATCCTGGAACTGAGCCCAGTACGTGTCGAGAACCTGCAAACGAGACGTCAACCCGCCAACTGACTTCAGTTGACCGGACTTGCGTGCATTGTCCAGCAGCCGCTCCATGCGGTGCTGCCGGTCGTATTGCAGCTCGATGAGCCCAAGAATGTCCTCCTCCTTAGACATAACGGAGCCCGAGCTAAACAACCGACCCAGGTCCGAGACTACCGCTCCCGATCCGGCTCGAAGGACCAAAATTATGTTCGGAACTAGCCCGAACATATGATAGCTCCGGAGAGCTGGCTGGAAGTACGGATCGCAGAGCGACGTCCGCCTGCGTCTAGGCTCGCTCGAGTCCGCTCGGTGACCGTCCGGTCGTCCTGATCAAAGCCGGGCCTCGCAAGGCGACCACAGACCCTGCT